TCCAATAGGGAACCGAACCGGAGCAAACCTGTGTTAGCAGATGGGGAAGGTTTTTGCCAATATCCTCGCGGAGGCAAGCAATCTCGTTGGAAACTTTTCACACATTGTCGCTCGCCCCGTTTGTTGCGTTACGGGCGACCTTTTTCTTATGAGTAGCAGACAATAAGTCGCATGTCGTGTGGATCCCGCTGTCGTCCCGCCGAATCGCATCGTTTCAATTCGTGCTGTCAGGAGGAGTCGGCAAGGAGGAGTCGCTTTTCTATCGGGCAGGCACAAAGGGGTCGCAGGAGTTTCTACGTCGCAAGAACTATCGCCTGTCACCTTGCGAGCTTGCGCTGCATAGCTTCTCCTGCCCTTCGACACCCTCGAGGTCGCCGAACCAGAACACCAAATCCTTAGGGCGTGGGCAGCGCGTTCATTTTCTCCACTTTTCCAAAATTTTGACGCCCGTCGAATCTGGAGGTTACTGTAGCTTTTTTTCCCAGGTGGGACACGCTCGTCCAAATTTAGGCACAGAACCCGCCACGCTTTTGCCAAACCGCCCACCCAACAAGGTAACCCGCCACGCTTTTGCCAAAACGCTTTTGACCTGGTGGATCTGGCTACGGGGCGCGGTAGGAATCTATATTTGTGAACCCTTGGATTTGCGAGGGTCGTACGCGCTTGACGAAGTCGTGGTGCGGTTTCGCTGACGTTTTCACACGCTTTCTCAAATGATGCGCGGGTTGTTCGCGGACGTTGTGGGTACGTGTTTTGTTCGGTTGACGGCACGGAAAACAGCCACAGTTCATCCACTGTATACTCCGTCGTGTCCACGCATTACCCTAAATCGGGGTTACAAACCGCTGAATGAGGTAACTGTTTCGGGCTAAGCCAGGAAAATGAACGCGCTGCCCACGCCCTTACAAAGCATTCCGCCTGGGTTCGGTTAGATTGATTTTGCGGGGCTTCTGCCAACAGCCATGCGGTCAGAATCTCCCTGTTGCTTCACACTACACCACCACCACACCACACACGCATCCTCTCCCCAGTTGTGCCACAGAACCGAAATTCTGTTTTGTTTTTTTTTCATGTTTGCACGCCACAATCGGGGGTGTTTCTGCAGGATATCCTCCCACATGGAAATGCATTTATGCGATGCCTGATTTTCAAACTCACCTGTTTCTTACCACATCCCAGATATCAATGAGGGCCGCAAGAGGTTCCCTCACCAGTAGTAAGAATTACATGCTTGAAATCCCGAAGCACCTTTAATACAGTATTGAGCAAAGAAAGGTTTGAAAGAGCAAAAGGATAAGAGCGTGTTACACCCAAGCAAAGATTGCTGCATTTTGAGGATCACGTAGGCGATCCTTACAGAACAGTGTCATACCTACCACTGTACAGTAATCACTGTGTCAGGTGATGTACCAACAGAGGAAGGATCGAAATCACGAGAGATCGTGATACCCGATCTTGGTGTTTTTTGGGAGATCGTGGTGACTGCCAATCTCTCGGTGATCCTTGCATCTTTGTACCAAAGACAAGGTGATCCTTGATGACGAAACTTTTGTTGTCGTGAACTGCTGTAACAAAATCGCGACTAATCAGAGCATTCTTTTGATGAAGTTCGAACCAATAAAGCGGTTGATTTCGGATCAGTAACGCAGTCAACGTGGTCAACAAAAATATCCGACGATCGCGACTGTCGCGTCGTTTCAGGCGACGTCGCCTGGTCGCAGAGGATCACCATTGCAAATTTGCAGATGGTACACCAACAAGGATTGTGATGTGCACCAAAAATTGTTGTTTTGCCACTCGTAATCCTAGGGTTGGGGTTATGGTGATCTTAGCTACGTGATCCTTGAGATTAGGGCAGGTGTAACACGCTCTAAGGGGGCGTCATCACATCACAGTCCAGTCATCGTCCAGACTTCAAAACCTTGGCGGTGGCCAGTCGAGGTAAGGCGAGGCGCCTTTCGGTGTTTTGCGTCACCTGCACAAGCATTCGTTCTCGGTGTTCGGTTTGGAGCTTCCCACGACTCGTAACTCCCCAGATCCCCCACCTTCCCCCCTCCCTCGGACTCCCGACCTCTCCCCGACCACTCCCCGACCTCCCCCCGACCGCTCCCCGACCCCCGCCCGACCGCTCCCGACCCGACCTTCCACGCGACATCGAAGAAAGGCGTCAGTCGCCCTGTCCGCCTGTCAGCACAGCCCGCAACGCACCACCCATCTTCATCGCCCTCCCACCTTCCCTCTCCCCCCACACCCTCCACTTTCCGCGTCTCTGTTGGCTCATCATGATTCCGCCGAGGGCGGAAGTATGCTTGATTGAATTGAACCCATCCGTTGGGCACCTCACTTTCCCCTCAAGCTCACACGATACATTCGGGGAAGGCGTTTCGATCCATTCCCACCACCCCAAGATTGAGCGGGTGACGCCTAGATATTGCACTACGAATGCCAGGAGCAGCATTGGAGGCATGAGAACAGAGGACTGAGGTGACTGCTTTCAAGTAACTAACAGAGGAATGAGAACCAGCAGCTGTCGGCTGGGAACGTCAACGAAGGTAGTAGTGCTTTACACGGGAGCTTTTAATTCATTAATAGCTTCTTACTGCCAGACATGCTGCCATTGTCGACCAAATCAACGGTTTTCAATCAGGCGGGTCTGTGCACTCATTTAAATTCAGTCAGACGCGTCTTAGAACTCGCCATTCCTCGCCGAATTTGAATACCCTTGATTAGCCCGTTCGGTCTAGCAGGGAGGAGTCTACACCTTGACTCGACCTTACCGAAAACAGCGTGGCATCACCAACAGTAGCAGCAACACCAACCACCAGCCTCTATCACGTTCACTAGCATCTGCAGCAGCTGCAGCAGCAGCAGCAGCAGCAGCACCAGCAGGAGCCGCACAATCAGTTCTCATCCCACCTAGAGCCGCGTGCCCATCATGTTGCGGATATGGCGGTTGATGTTCGAGTGGTGGCAGTGGCAATTCTCGCGCCTCGGATGGCTCGTGGGTCGCCGACCACTCGCCAGCATCTTCGTCGCGTGCATTGTCATCATTCTCTGCTCGCTCGGCCTGCTACGAGCCAGCTTCATTGAAAACATCGACGCGCTCTGGGTAAGTTATGGCACCCTAATCGACGCGCTCTCGGTAAGCCTTTGTAGCTCCCGTTTCAAATTTCAATCCCAAGAATAGAGTAACCCACATCGACTCGCTCCGTTCTTCTTCTGTTCTCACCGAACTCGGAGGCATCTCGACACGAGGAATCGCTCATTTCTCATCATGTGCTTGACGCGTTCGTCTTACCGCGCGTTCTTCTCGCTTCTCGGTTCTTCTTTCGCGGCCATGGTAGCTGCTGCTTCTTCTTTTATGGCACTGACATGGTGCCGTCAGCAACCACTGGATGCTAGAAATGCTTCGCGATTAATAAACGTCCCTGTATCGAGATTGAGATTGAGCTCGAAAGCCGTTCTGCTGAACGCGCTTTCCTTAGCAACTTGGCAAGTTTGCAAGCACCCCCTTTTTTACCGTTGCCTTCCACCCGTCGTCATCCTTGTCCGTTCCGCTGCCTGCATTACGCCTCTTGCATTCCCTCTGGCTTTTATGTGTCGTCGTAGCCAACGAGACGACTCACGAGTCAGCCTAGCCTACCCATCCGTCGCTCGCCAACGTGCTGTCTCCGTCTCCGACTCGCTCCGTCTCCGTCTCCGTCTCCGTTTCTGTCGCGTCGTCGTTAACGTCTATTCCCGCGACTTCGACGTCGCCAATAGGACTGTCGAGCGTTTTTCCCTTTCACCCTTCGGCCGCTCTGAAGGAGCTCCGCACCCCCTTCGCGAGCTAGATTCATGATGACTCGGTACAGGAACCAGCCCAGCGCCGTTGGGTCCGCCGTCAAAAGCTCTGACCACACACACGCGCGCACACACGCGCACACACGGACACACGCCACACGCACTCACACACAAACTCACACAATCTCGCAATCCGCCCTCACTTCTCGTCTTCCTCCCCCTCTGCCCAACCCTTTCCACCCAATCCCTTCCCCTTCCCATAACCCCCACCTTCCCGTCCCCCTTCTCCATCCACTTCCCCGCGCGCAGGTGCCGAGCACGACCAAGGCGATCGTGGACCAGCGCAAGTTCGACGCGTGCTTCCCCACATTCCCCCCACCCCGCATCCCTCTACCCCGCTTGCTGCCTGACAACCCATCCTCCCGGCCCCCCCTCCCCTTCCCCGTCCCCTTCCCCTTCCCCTTCCCCCGCGCGCGCAGGTGCCGAGCACGTCGAAGACGATCGTGGACCAGCGCAAGTTCGACGCGTATTTCCCCATCTTCCCCCATCTCTCCCTCCTCCATCACCCCTCATCCCTTATACGTCTCCCCGCACCCCGTCTCTCCCCCCCCCCCCCGCAGGTGCCGAGCACGTCGAAGACGATCGTGGACCAGCGCAAGTTCGACGCGTATTTCCCCACGAACCCGTTTTCGCGCGTGGAGCGCGTGATCATCGTGCCCAAGGACCCCTCCGCCGACATGCTGCAGCCGCACCTGCTCAACCAGGTAGGCGTGGGGGGGAATGGGGGGGGTAAGCGGGCGAGGGGAAGGGGGACGGCGGGACGGGCGGGGCGGGGAAGGGCGGGGGAAGGCGGGGAAGGGAAGGGAGGGGTAGGGAAGGCAAGGGATGGGAGGATGGGGGTAAGGGACGGGTTTGTGAGGAGCGAACCCGTTTTCGCGCGTGGAGCGCGTGATCATCGTGCCCAAGGACCCCTCCGCCGACATGCTGCAGCCGCACCTGCTCAACCAGGTGCGCATGGCGCGGGCAGGGCGGGACGGCGCGGGGCGGGGAGCGGCGGGGAAGGGCTGGGGAGGGCGGGGAACGGCGGGGAACGTCGGGGAAGGGGGAGGGCAAGGAAGGGAGGGGAGGGAAGGAATGGGAGTGAAGGGTGGGGGAGGGCGGGGAGGTTAAGACAGATGGGGAGGATGGAAGGAAGGGAGGGGGTTATGGGGGACGGACCCGCTTTCGCGCGCGGGGCGCGTGGGGCGCGTGGGGCGCGCGGGGCGCGTGGGGCGCGTGGGGCGCGTGGGGCGCGTGGAGCGCGTGGAGTGCGTAATCATGGTGCCCAAGGACCCCTCCGCCCAATGCTGCAGCGGCGCCTGCTCAACCAGGTGCCGCCCGCGCAGGGCAAGTGGGGCTGGGCTGGGGGAGGGGGAGGGAAGGGCAAGGACTTGGAAGGAAGGGCTGGGAGGGGGGAGGGAAGGATGCGTTACTCGCACCATGTCTAATTCGCACCGTTTCTCACTCGCACCATGTCTAATTCGCACCGTTTCTCACTCGCACCATGTCTAATTCGCACCGTTTCTCACTCGCACCATGTCTAATTCGCACCGTTTCTCACTCGCACCATGTCTAATTCGCACCGTTTCTCACTCGCACCATGTCTAATTCGCACCGTTTCTCACTCGCACCATGTCTAATTCGCACCGTTTCTCACTCGCACCATGTCTAATTCGCACCGTTTCTCACTCGCACCATGTCTAATTCGCACCGTTTCTCACTCGCACCATGTCTAATTCGCACCGTTTCTCACTCGCACCATGTCTAATTCGCACCGTTTCTCACTCGCACCATGTCTAATTCGCACCGTTTCTCACTCGCACCATGTCTAATTCGCACCGTTTCTCACTCGCACCATGTCTAATTCGCACCGTTTCTCACTCGCACCATGTCTAATTCGCACCGTTTCTCACTCGCACCATGTCTAATTCGCACCGTTTCTCACTCGCACCATGTCTAATTCGCACCGTTTCTCACTCACACCATGTCTAATTCGCACCGTTTCTCACTCGCACCATGTCTAATTCGCACCGTTTCTCACTCGCACCATGTCTAATTCGCACCGTTTCTCACTCGCACCATGTCTAATTCGCACCGTTTCTCACTCGCACCATGTCTAATTCGCACCGTTTCTCACTCGCACCATGTCTAATTCGCACCGTTTCTCACTCGCACCATGTCTAATTCGCACCGTTTCTCACTCGCACCATGTCTAATTCGCACCGTTTCTCACTCGCACCATGTCTAATTCGCACCGTTTCTCACTCGCACCATGTCTAATTCGCACCGTTTCTCACTCGCACCATGTCTAATTCGCACCGTTTCTCACTCGCACCATGTCTAACTCGCACCGTTTCTCACTCGCACCATGTCTAATTCGCACCGTTTCTCACTCGCACCATGTCTAATTCGCACCGTTTCTCACTCGCACCATGTCTAATTCGCACCGTTTCTCACTCGCACCATGTCTAATTCGCACCGTTTCTCACTCACACCATGTCTAATTCGCACCGTTTCTCACTCGCACCATGTCTAATTCGCACCGTTTCTCACTCGCACCATGTCTAATTCGCACCGTTTCTCACTCGCACCATGTCTAATTCGCACCGTTTCTCACTCGCACCATGTCTAATTCGCACCGTTTCTCACTCGCACCATGTCTAATTCGCACCGTTTCTCACTCGCACCATGTCTAATTCGCACCGTTTCTCACTCGCACCATGTCTAATTCGCACCGTTTCTCACTCGCACCATGTCTAATTCGCACCGTTTCTCACTCGCACCATGTCTAATTCGCACCGTTTCTCACTCGCACCATGTCTAATTCGCACCGTTTCTCACTCGCACCATGTCTAACTCGCACCGTTTCTCACTCGCACCATGTCTAATTCGCACCGTTTCTCACTCGCACCATGTCTAATTCGCACCGTTTCTCACTCGCACCATGTCTAATTCGCACCGTTTCTCACTCGCACCATGTCTAATTCGCACCGTTTCTCACTCGCACCATGTCTAATTCGCACCGTTTCTCACTCGCACCATGTCTAATTCGCACCGTTTCTCACTCGCACCATGTCTAATTCGCACCGTTTCTCACTCGCACCATGTCTAATTCGCACCGTTTCTCACTCGCACCATGTCTAATTCGCACCGTTTCTCACTCACACCATGTCTAATTCGCACCGTTTCTCACTCACACCATGTCTAATTCGCACCGTTTCTCACTCACACCATGTCTAATTCGCACCGTTTCTCACTCACACCATGTCTAATTCGCACCGTTTCTCACTCACACCATGTCTAATTCGCACCGTTTCTCACTCACACCATGTCTAATTCGCACCGTTTCTCACTCACACCATGTCTAATTCGCACCGTTTCTCACTCACACCATGTCTAATTCGCACCGTTTCTCACTCACACCATGTCTAATTCGCACCGTTTCTCACTCACACCATGTCTAATTCGCACCGTTTCTCACTCACACCATGTCTAACTCGCACCGTTTCTCACTCGCACCGTTTCTCACTCACACCGTTTTCTCACACTCGCACCGTTTCTAACCCACGACATTTCTCAAGGCACCTCTTACCGAAACGTGCCATTATCCCCCCTTTTGCGAGCCACGCCGATTCCAGCATTTTCTCCTTTTCCCCGCATCCCCTTGCTCCGTTCTCCCTCCCCACTCCTCCCGCATTTCCCTTCCTCTCCTCCACAACCCCACTTTTCCCGCTTGTGCCCTTTCACTGCACCACAACCCCGGTCTTCTTCTTTCCTCCCGACTCCCGCTCTCTCCTAACCCTCCCATTTCCTCCTCCCGCTCCCCGCCCTCTTCCCCGCTCTCCCACGTTTCTGCTGAACCTGACTAAATAAACTGAATGTGTGTCAATAGAGAGATCCTTTTGAGGCGCCTGGGCCTCTCCCCCCCTCCCCTCCCTCCCTTCCCTCCCCTCCCTCCCTTCCCTCCCCTCCCCTCCCCTCCCCTCCCCTCCCCTCCCCTCCCCTCCCCTCCCCTCCCCTCCCCTCCCCTCCCCTCCCCTCCCCTCCCCTCCCCTCCCCTCCCCTCCCCTCCCCCGCTTCCCCTCAGCCGGTGAAGAACGGGTCTTCGAGTCGACTCAAAAGACCCCCTCCCGTCTCTTCCTCCCCCCTCTCTCGTTCAGACGTACAACATCTACATGGCCCTGCTGAACCTGACGGTCACCGCCAGCTGACCTTGAGCCAACACAGACACATTCTTGAAACGCCTCCACCAACCCCCCCTTCCCGCCCCCCCTCTCTCTCCTCTCTCTTCTCCCATCAGACGTACAACATCTACATGGCCCTGCTGAACCTGACAGTCACCGCCAACCGACCATGACCCAACACAAACACCTCTCTCCCCGCCTTCCCCCTCCTCTCTCCCTCCCCCCTCCCATCAGACGTACAACATCTACATGGCGCTGCTGAACCTGACGGTGACCGCGTACGACAACAGCACGGTGGGCATCAAGCAGATGTGCGCGCAGCCGGTGAAGAACCGATTCTTGCGTCGACTCAAAAGCCCTTCCCATCTCTTCCCCTCCCATCTCTTCCCATCAGACGTACAACATCTACATGGCTCTGCTGAACCTGACGGTGACCGCCACAGACAACAGCACGGTGGGCATCAAGCAGATGTGCGCGCAGCCGGTGAAGAACGGCGGGTGCGTGTACTACAGCCCGCTGGCCTACTGGAAGGACGACCGCGCGCTCATGCTCTCCAGGACTGTTGCTCAGCTGCACTCTGACGTGGACGAGCTGCTGCTCTCGGGTGAGTGATGAGGAAGTGAGAGGGTGATTGATAAGGGTGTGGGTGGGTGGGAGAGTGAGTGAGTGAGAACGGTGCTGCTGCTGCTGCCGCTGCTGCTGCTGCCGCTGCTGCTGCTGCTGCTGCTGCTGCTGCTGCTGCTGCTGCTGCTGCTGCTGCTGCTGCTGCTGCTGCTGCTGCTGCTGCTGCTGCTGCTGCTGCTGCTGCTGCTGCTGCTGCTGCTGCTGCTGCTGCTGCTGCTGCTGCTGCTGCTGCTGCTGCTGCTGCTGCTGCTGCTGTTCCCCCCTTCTGCTCCCCCCTGCTGCTCCTCCCTGTGACGCTCTGCTCCCACTGCTTTCGGCTCTCTGCTGTCGCCATTGCTGCACACCCCTGTCTTTCTCCCCGCCTTATCAATCAGTATTCATCATCAACTGTCACACAGCAACCATAAGCCTTTCCATCACTTCCCTCACCGCCTACTTCCCTCCTCTCCTCCCCCTTCCCCCCGTCCCACCCGCAGGGCTGATCCCGGTGCAGCAGCGGCAGGTGCTGGGTTGCCTGGTGAAGACCTTTGAGACGCCTTAAGAACCTTCTCCCCATTCCCCTCCCCCTTCCCCTCCCCCTTCCCCTCCCCTCCAATCCCCTCCTCCCTCTCCTGCATCCGCAGGGCTGATCCCGGTGCAGCAGCGGCAGGTGCTGGGGTGCCTGGTGAAGACGCCATCCACAGTGTTTGCTGGCAACTATGACGTCAAGTCCGTTGGGGCGCTCATCTTCACATGTACGTACTGCTCTCTTCGCGCACCTGACTCTGCTTTGGGACGCCTCAAAGGGCGCCATCTAAACTGTACGCGTGAGATGAGTCGATTTTTGAGTCGACTCAAAAAACCGTTGGGGCGCTCATCTTCACATGTACGTACTGCTCTCTTCACGCACCTGACTCTGTTTTGGGGACGTCTCAAAGGGCGCCATCTAAACTGTGCGGACGCGTGCAACTTCGACGTCAAGTCCGTTAGAGCGCTCATCTTCACATGTACGTACTGCTCTCCCTGTTCTTGCCCCGCCCTATCCCCCCATGCTCCCCTCTACCTTCCCTTAACCCCCTTTGTATCTCCTTGCATTTGTTACATCCCATTACCTCCCCGTGCCTCTGTGCCTCCCCTGTTTCACCTTGCCTTGGCTGCACTCGTGCTGCCACGCCTGCTAGCACGTGAGAAGCTTGCTAGCATGTCTTGCCTGCATGGAACACCCGTTGGCAATAGCCACGCTACACATTCCATGGCACAGTTGCCAACGGGTGTTCCATGCAGGAAGGAATAAGTGCATGATGAACTGTTGCAATGCGTAACCAAGCAAACAAACTTTAATAGGGTTTCACGGAGGAGGGGGGACGGGAGAGGGAGGGAGGCGGAGGGGTCTGTTAAGGGCACGCCGGCAGTGGGGCGATGGGAGACAGCACGCACCTTTCCTCTCCGCTCATTGCTTTTAGTGAATCATGCCCTACGCTGCCACTGATTCTCCAACCCTCCCTCTCCCATCTCCCGCCCTCTCCTCCCCTGTCTGCTCTTCTCTCCTTGTCTCCTCCCCGCGTGTGAGTCTTCTTGGACGTGGCTGTTAATTACACGCCAACAGTGGAGGGAAGGGGGACAGCACCCCCCCTCTCCTCTCCTCTGGTTCCCCCCTCACTCCCATCCCTGCCTCTGTCGTTTCCCCTCTTTCTCTCCCCTGGCCCCAGTCTTCTTGGACGTGTCTATCAAGGGCACGCCAACAGTTGAACGATGGGAGACAGCACTCCTGGATATGCTCGACACATACCCATATGAGGTGAGTCAGTCAATCAGCCCATCGCCCGCTATGTTGAGGTGCCTCTTTAGAAAGCTTTTGAGTCGGGTTCTGAGGTGCCCCAACAGTGGAGCGATGGGAGACAGCACTCCTGGATATGCTCGACACATACCCATATGAGGTGAGTCAGTCGAGCATTCGAGGTGACTTATGAGTCGACACAAAAGTCACCTCACGCCCACAGTGGAGCGATGGGAGACAGTCACTCATTCGCTTGCCACTTTTTGAAATGCCGCGAAGGAGAGCTTTTGGGACGAGTTTTGAGATCGCTCCACTGTTGAGCCTTCGAGCCTTTGAGCCTCAACAGTGGAGCGGGTGAGATCGAGCTACGGCATCATGACCGTCTACTTGCTCATCGCCCTCACCACCTTCAAACCCTTCTCCTCGCCGCCTCCCTTTTCCCCTCCCTTGCCTCTACTCCCTCCGCCCCACCCGCCCCTCCTGCCCCACCTGCCCCTTCCTTCGATCCCAACGCCCCCTGCCCTACACCTCCCTACCCCCCCTCCCCTCTCCCCGCCACACAACCCTCACCATCAGGACGTGGTGGCATACGCAGCAACGGGAGTGTCGACCTCGCAGGAGATCTCGCGGCAGTCGAAGGGGGACGTGGTGCTGCTGGGAGCCAGCTACGTCATCATGACCGTCTACATGCTCATTGCCCTCACCACCTTCAAGCCCTTCCGCACGCGCTTCCTGCTCGGCCTGGGCGCACTTGCTACCGTGGCTTCCGGCATTCTCTCCTCGCTCGGCTTCAGCGCGCTGTTCTACCAGTTCAACCCGCTCACCATCCAGGTGCGTGCGTGAAATGAGAGGACTTCTGGGGTTCAGGTTCCTCAGAGCATGCTCATTGCCCTCACCACCTTCAAGCCCTTCCGCACGCGCTTCCTCCTCGGCCTCGGCGCGCTTGCGACCGTGGCTTCGGGTATTCTGTCGTCGCTTGGGTTCAGCGCGCTGTTCTACCAGTTCAACCCGCTCACCATCCAGGTGTGTGCATTAATGGGTCGTTTCAAAATCCCTGCTTCCACCACCATCATCAAAACTCCATGCGCTGGCCCCTATCCCTCTCCCCACACTTCCCCTCCTTCTCTCCCCTCCTCGCCTCATCTCCCCATACTTACCATTGTCCCGATCTCGTACCCCACCTTCTCCTTCCCTCCCCACCCGCTTTACCTCCAGGTGCTGCCATTCGTGATGCTATCCATCGGCATGGACAGTGTCTTCATCCTCTACACGCACTTCCAGAAGTCTCTCACGTCCGTCCCCCACGCGCCCCTCTCCAACCTCGACATTGCCATGGCTCTCGAGGTAAGCCCACAAGAGAGCACAACTAAGGCGCCTCACTCAAGTGTCGTTTTCTTTGGCGCCTCGGGGGGTGTTTCTTCCCGGGCGTGTCAAAAGCCCCTCTCATCTGTCTGTCCCCCACGCGCCCCTCTCCAACCTTGACATTGCCATGGCTCTCGAGGTAAGCCCGTCGCACGCTCAGGCGCACCCCAAGTGCCGTTTTCTTTGGCTCCTCAACAACTAGCCCAGTAAGCAAGGCGTTTCAAATGAGGCGTTTCAAAGAGGCGTTTCAAATGAGGCGCCCTTTGACAGACTTAATCCAGACCATAGCCTTTCCTCTCTTCCTCTCGTGTCCATTCCTCCCGTTTCCTCCTGTTCTTCCCCTTTCTTCCCACTCCTTCCAATTGATTCCCCCTCCGCGGCCCACAGGACGCGCTGTACCGGCAGAGCGCGAGTGTGGCGCTGACAGCACCATTCCAATCCACAGTCTATCCTCTGCCTCTCATCCTCACTCCTCTCTTTCGCTCTCCTTTATTCCGCACTCCTCCGCCCCCCACAGGACGCGCTGTACCGGCAGGGCACGAGTGTGGCGCTGACGGCACTAATCCACACCATAGCCTTTTCCTCTTCACCTGCCTCTCATGCCCACTCCCTTTTCCTCCCTTTCTTCCCCTTGTTGCCCCCCCACAGGACGCACTGTACCGGCAGGGCGCGAGTGTGGCGCTGACGGCGCTGACCAAGGCGATCTCGTTCCTGTGCCCGTGCATCGTGCTGCGCATCCCTGCGCTGCAGGAGTTCTGCATCGTCGTCGCCATTGCCGTGCTCTTTGAGCTCCTCTTCTCCTTCACCGCATTCAACGCCTTCCTCGTGAGTCGGCTACTCTTTTTTGTTGTTTGAGTCGAAAACCGCTTCCTGGTGAGTGAGACAGATGTTGAGTGAAGCAAACATCGTTGTAGCCATCGCTGTTCTCTTCGAGCTGCTCCATGTTCAACGCCTTCCTCGTGAGAATGAGAGACGGCTGTTGAAAATCACACCTCTGGTGAGTCGACTCAGGCATTGTCGTCGCCATTGCCGTGCTCTTTGAGCTCCTCTTCTCCTTCACCGCATTCAACGCGTTCCCGGTGAAAATGAGAGCCGGCTGTTGAGTTGAGAGCCAGATGTCGCACTTCTGGTGGGGCGGTTTCTTGGGCATCCCCTGCTTTTTTTGAAGCGCCAAAATCTATTGACTCCCACACGATTGTATTCCTCATCCTTTCAACGCCTTTCATATTCCCCCTTTTCCCCCTACCATATCAGATCCTGGATGCGTGCAGGGAGTGTGACAACCGTATGGGCCTCATCCCTGGATTTCTTAGGCGCCTAAAGACGCGTTCTCATTCCCTCCCGCCTCCCCGCTCTCTCTCCCACCATCAGATCCTGGATGCGCGCAGGGAGAGGGACAACCGATACGACTGCATTCCCTGCTTTTCTTAGGCGCCTTAAGACGCGTTCTCATTCCCTCCCGCCTCCCCGCTCTCTCTCCCACCATCAGATCCTGGATGCGTGCAGGGAGAGTGACAACCGTATGGGCCTCATCCCTGGATTTCTTAGGCGCCTAAAGACGCGTTCTCATTCCCTCCCGCCTCCCCGCTCTCTCTCCCACCATCAGATCCTGGATGCGCGCAGGGAGAGGGACAACCGATACGACTGCATTCCCTGCTTTTCTTAGGCGCCTAAAGACGCATTCTCATTCCCTCCCGCCTCCCCCCTCCCCCCTACCATCAGATCCTGGATGCGCGCAGGGAGAGGGACAACCGATATGACTGCATTCCCTGCCTGTCGCGCAGCGGCAGGCGCACCAAGCCGCAGCCGAGCCAACAGGAGCTGCTCCGAAACTCCTCCTCCGCCACTCCCTTTCCTCATTCCGCCTCTGCTGTTGATGCTGCCACCGCTGCTGCGAATTCCGCTGCTGCCGCTGCTGCAGCGGCAGCTGCTGCTGCTGCTGTTAATGGTGCCGGTGATGATGCTGCTGCTGCGGCTGCTGCTGCTAACGGTGCGGTTAATGGCGGTACTAATGGTCCAACGTGGGTGCCGCTGAGCCAAAGCAATAGCCCACCCGCCACTGATCTGAATGTAGAGGGAGGAGGAGACGACAAGGAGGCCATTAAAGCTGCGCAAATAGCCACAGCACCTCCCGCCTTGGGACCCGAACCCAATGATCTCGCCGCCGCCGCCGCTGCTGCCGCGGCCGCTGCTGCTGCTGGTAACACCGGTGCCGTCGCGGCCGTCGCGAACGGGACGGGCAACGGCGGGAAGCTAACAAAAGAGGAGAAGCAGCAGCAGAAGGCGGAGAAGCGGGCCAAGGTGAAGCGCGACGGCGGGCTGATTGACATCTCGGGCAGCACGGAGAAGGAGGCGAAAACTTTCTACGGGCGGTTCATCTGCCTGTACTACGTGCCGTACGCGCTGAGTCACTGGGTCGGGCAGCTGGTGATTTTCTGTGTGTTTGGCGCGCTGCTGGGCGTGGGGATATACGGGTGCGTGACGGTGGATGAGACGTTGGACGTGCGCACGCTCATCACCCAGGGCACGCAGCTGTACTACTACCTTGGCTACGAGGAGATGTGAGTGCCCTAGTGGGGTGGGGTGGGGTGGGGTGGGGTGGGATGGGAGGGGAGGGGAGAAGAAGGGATGGGAAGGGATGGGAGGGGAAGCTTGGTGTGTGTGCTCCCCTACGCGCTGAGTCACTGGGTCGGGCAGCTGGTGCTTTTCTGTGTGTTTGGCGCGCTGCTGGGCGTGGGGATTTACGGGTGTGTGACGGTGGATGAGACGTTGGACGTGCGCACGCTCATCACCCAGGGCACGCAGCTGTACTACTACCTTGGCTACGAGGAGACGTGAGTGCCCTAGTGGGGTGGGGTGGGGTGGTTTTGGGGGTGGGGGGAGGATGGAATGGCGTTTGGGGCGCCTCAAAAGGCACGCAGGGCACGCAGCTGTATTACTACCTTGGCTACGAGGAGACGTGAGTGGCCTAGTGGGGTGGGGAGGGGGGGGGATGAGGTGGGATGGGAGGGGATGGGAGGGGATGGGAGGGGATGGGAGGGGATGGGATGGGATGGGAGGGGGATGGATGGGAGGCCTTGTGTGTATGCTGGCTGCTCCCTGCTGCGTTGTGCCCAATTGGCCCTCCTTTTCTCCCTCTGCTCGTGCACATACCCACTCATCCTGTCTCTCACTGGGGCATCGTCCACTCCCCTCTCCGTGAAAGAAGGGTGCTTTTGAGACGGCTCAAAAGCACCCCCTTTTTTTTTTTTTTCACGTTTCTACCCACTCGTCTTGTCTCCCACCGATTCCGGCCCTTACGCACTGGAGCACCGGCCACTCCCCACCCACTCCCTCCTGCCCTTCGTCCTCCCAGGTGCAACACGCACATCGGCCCGCCTATGTACCTGGTCACAGAGAACATCGACTATGCTTACTCACACATGCACCCATGACCCGCCTCTTTCTCCCATCCCCCCCATCCCCCACTGTTCCCCTCTATTCGTCCTCCCAGGTGCAACACGCACATCGGCCCGCCTATGTACCTGGTCACAGAGAACATCGACTACTCGTCGCTGCAGAACAAGGTATGTGCAGCGTGGTGCACTGCGGTGTGGTGCACTGCGGTGTGGTGCACTGCGGTGCGAGGCAGTGCAGTGTGGGGCAGTGCAGTGTAGTGCGTGAGGGTGTGTTTGTTGGGCAGACATGGAATTGCTTTGTGTCATTGCAGAGGGCATGACCTGTCTTCCAATCTCCCTACTCCTCCCGCCTCCTCCCCCGCCCCCTCCCTCCCACCCACACAGCCGTACATGACGCGTCTCACAGGGCTGGAGGAAAACTAGCCACTTTTCCAATCTCCCCACGCCCACTCCTCCCTTCCCCTCTCCCCCTTCCCCGCACAGCCGTACATGACTCGGCTGACAGGGATGGCGGAAAACTCATTAGTATTTCAATCTCCCCACTCCCACTCCTCCCCTCCCCTCTCCCCCTTCCTCCCCACGTGGCACACCCACCACCTCCTTCCCCCCTTCCACCCTGCGCTGCCCCTCCCCTCTCCCCCTTCCCCCGCACAGCCGTACATGACGCGGCTGACAGGGATGGTTCTAAACTGTCTCCCCACTCCTCTTTGGCCCTCCCCTCTCCCTCTACCCCCCGCACAGCCGTACATGACGCGGCTGACAGGCATGGTGGAAAACTCCACGTGGATTGAGAAGCCTGTGTTCTCCTGGTACCGTGACTTCACAGAGAAGTGAGTGCACCCACGGGGCCATGGGGGAGGGAAGGGAAATGGTGGAGCTGTGTGTGAGTGGTTTGAGTCGTCCCAAAGCTCGCTCGTGTTCTCCTGGTACCGTGACTTCACAGAGAAGTGAGTGCAGTGGTCGCGGGGAGTGCGGAGGGGGAGAGGTACTATCTTCTCGCGAGATCTTCCACGCTGCGCTCGATAACTTCCTGAACGACAGCATGGAGGGCTTCGCCTACATCTACGACTTTGACTTTGAGCTTGGGGTTGTTGGGCTGACACCCCCACCTGTCCCACTCACTTCCCCTGCTCCATCTCCCACTCCCTCCCCGCCTCCTCTCCCCCGTGTCTTCCCCGCTTCCCTTCCCCCCCCAACCCCAACTCCCCCTCCCCCATCTTTGGAATCCCCCAGGTTCCTACCCTACAGCAAGTGGGTAACCCAATTGGATTCCAACGGGCAACTCCCCTCCCGAGAGATCTTCCACGCAGCACTCGACAACTTCCTGAACGACAGCATGGAGGGCTTCGCCTACATCTACGACTTTGACTTTGAGCGCAACAACCGCACGGGCGCCATAGAGGCCATCAAGGCCGCGCGCATGCGCGCGTTCTACAACCCGCTCAAGGGCACCAGCGAGTTTGTCAACGCCATGCTGGACGTGCGCGCTAGGGTGGACTCTGTGCCTCAGGTGGGTACTCTTGTGGTGGGTGGGGGGATAGGTGGGTGGTGGGTGCGCAGGCTGATGTGCAGTGGCAGGGTCAGGGTGGTGGTGGGACAAGGTTCAGTTGACCCTAAGGGGCCTCGCCTCGCATGGTGCATGCGCGCGTTTTACAACCCGCTCAAGGGCACCAGCGAGTTTGTCAACGCCATGCTGGACGTGCGCGCCCGCGTGGATTCTGTGCCGCAGGTGGGTGGCATCTGTGCTGGAGAGTCTATTAATGAAGCGCCTCCAAGTAGACACCAGCGAGTTTGTCAACGCCATGCTGGACGTGCGCGCTAGGGTTGACTCTGTGCCGCAGGTAGGTAGTGTGCTGGTGGGTGGGTGGGTGGGTGCTGAAGCTGATGTGTGCAGAGGCAGGATGATGGTAGGTCAAGAGTCAGTTGATCCTAAGGTGGTCTCGCCTCGCATGGTGCATGCGCGCGTTCTACAACCCGCTCAAGGGCACGAGCGAGTTTGTCAACGCCATGCTGGACGTGCACGCCCGCGTGGGTTCCGTGCGGCAGGTGGGTGGGAGGGTGTGTGGATTTGTGGGTGGGTGGGAGGACAGATTGATAGGTGTGTTTGCGCAATCTGATGTGTGCAGTGGCAGTTGCGGCAACCGGTGCTGGCAAGTCCTAGTGACACGGGCACTCCAACCATCTGTCCAGGAAATGTTCTGCCAGGAGTTCCGGAACATTGTGTGCAGCAGTACATCTGGATGCTCGTGGGGATGATGCTGCTGTCTTCTCGTACCCACCCACTGACAGTCTTGCTTGCTGCCCAGCGCATTCTTCCAAACTCCCTGGCACAATCCCCCTCTTCTCCTCCCCCCCCCTTTCCTCCCTCTCTCACCTGTACTTTCCCCACACCACACCTCATCCTGTCCCCACCAGGTACCCGCCTTCACACAGAGCTACTTCTACGTGTTCTACGAGCAGTTCCTGGACATCGTGCAGCAGTACATCTGGATGCTCGTGTTCACCATCATCGGCATCTTCTGCATCACCTTCATCTTCATGGGCTTTAAGACCGCCATCATCGTCTCCGCCATGGTGCTCATGATCCACATCTCCATGCTCGTGAGTGCGGTGCCGTGCGGTGCGGTGCGGTGCGGTGGGGTGCAGTGGTGTTGTGTGGCGTGGGCTGCTGTGGCGCGGTGTGCTGGGCTGGGCTTTGCTGCGATTGTGATGGCGGTTGTAGTGGTTGTGATTGTAGTTGCGGCTGTGCTGTGCCCTGTGCTGTACCCGTGACACGTCTCATCTTCTGCATCACCTTCATCTTCATGGGCTTTAAGACCGCCATCATCGTCTCCGCAATGGTGCTCATGATCCACATCTCCATGCTCGTGAGTGCCGTGCCGTGTGGTGCGGTGAGGTGAGGGGAGGCGAGGTGGTGCTGTGCATAGGTGGCGTGGCGTGGGCTGCCATGGCATGGTTTGTGGAGGGCTGGTTTGTGCAGGGCTGGCCTGGGCTGGGCTGGTCTGGGCTGGTCTGGGCTGGTCTGGGCTGAACTGGGCTGAACTGGGCTGTGACGCGTGATCTGCTGTGGATATGTTGTTGTGGTGGTCGCCTTGGAGCATCTCTTACCCACCCCTCGTGTCTTCCACACATCCAGCTATCCCTCTCCTCTTGTCCCCCTCCCACTCCCCTTTTCCTTCCCCTCCTCCTCCACCAGGGTCTGACGGCGGAGTGGGGGGTGCAGCTGAACGCAGTGTCAGCAGTGAATGCAGTGGCCATCATGGGCCTGGCGGACGAGTATGTGAACTACATCATGCGCGCCTTTGAACTCGACCACGGCACTCCACAGGTCAGTAATTCTCAACTGGCTTTTGAGGGGCCTCACAAATCGCAGTGGCCATCGTGGGCCTGGCGGATGAGTATGTGAACTACATCATGCGCGCCTTTGAACTCGACCATGGCACACCGCAGGTCAGCAGCACTCGCCCTCACACGTACACGTACACATGCACATGGACATGCAAACGCCCATGCACATGCACATGCACATGCAAATGCACATGCACATGCAAACGCCCATGCACATGCAAACGCCCATGCACATGCACATGCACATGCACATGCACATGCACATGCACATGCACATGCACATGCACATGCACATGCATGTAGTGGCCATCATGAGGCTGGCGGATGAGTATGTGAATTGCATCATGCACGCCTTTGAACTCAACCACGGCAACCCACAGGTCGGACTTACCTTCCCATACAAGAACACATGCACATGCACACGGACACGGACACGTGCACGCACACACACCCACATACACACGTTCTCTCTCGCACGCACACGCTACCTCCCGCACGCGCACGCTATCTCTCTCATTCACACATGCACAACTTCCCACACACACACACACACACACACACACACGCGCGCGCGCGCGCGCGCGCACGCACGCACGCACGCACGCACGCATGCACACACACACCACACACACGCACATACACGCACATACACGCACATAAACGCACAGAGCCTCCCACCAACCCAACTCACGCACACCACTCTCCCGCGTTTCTGCCGTCCCGGGACCGGATCCCCGCCGCCCAGCTGCAGTACATCCACCCCATCACCAATGCTGCCTGCTGGTGCTTCTGCCCGCCACCTCCCCCCTGTTGACCCCCCCCTTCTCCAACCCACTGTTCCCCGAACCTCCCCATCCCTTCTTCCATTGTGCAGGACCGGATCCGCTCGACCCTGCTGCAATCCGCCCCATCACCAACGCGGCCTGCTGGAGCTTCTGCCCGCCTTCCCCCCTATTAACCCCCTTCTTCAACCGCTTCTTCCCCGAACCCTCCCCCCCCCCTCCCCCGTCCCCCCTCCCCCCTCCCCCCTCCCATCCCGCCTTGGTCCAGGACCGGATCCGCTCGGCCCTGCTGCAGTACATCCGCCCCATCACCAACGCAGCCTGCTGCACTGTCCTCGGCATTCTCCCGCTCGCCTTTGCCAAGTCAGCTGTGTACAATGTCTACTACTTCCGCATGTTCCTCGTTGCTACACTCCTCTCGTGGGGCACGGGGATTATTTTTCTGCCCGCGCTTCTGCTCGCGCTGCATGGCGTGGGGATCACGAAGCCGCTGTACGTGATGGGGCTTGCGGCTAAGGAGAAGTTCTTGCGGTGGAGAGGCAAGAAGCAGCAGCATGAGCATACGTCGGATGATGGAGAGGAGGAAGAGAAGAAAGAGCAGGTTGAGGGTGAGATGGCACTTCCTGCAGAGGTTCGGGTTTAGGGGATATGCATTCAGCATATGAGTGGATAGGAACACATCTGATGGTGTTCTTACCGTCCTGGTTTCCTTAGAGAAAACTTGCATGCGTGCAAGATAGCTTGCAGATGGCATGCTCTTGACACCCCTTCGTTTAACTTTTTCCTTTCTTCCGGGATACAGATTCTTTGATGTTCTGACTCATGCTTTCTATTGTGGGTTGTTTTTTATATTCTCTACCTATAATGCTTGTGCTCAGGAACTGTCCCTCAAAATACAGCCAGAATACATTGCGCAAACAGTGATTGCTTGTAACGAACAAAATTTGTTCGCTGAAATCGCGTGAAATGACGTGGCCTTTCCTGGTTTGGGGAGATTGGATGAGGGACGAGGCCAGCTTTTGTCATGGCTCGGTGGAGCCCTTGAAACGAGTTGTCGTTTGGGGTGCTGCTCGTGCTGTTTGCATTGCATTGCACCAACCAGTTGATTGACATTCAGCACAATCGCCGCGCGTGGACAGCTTTCCCGCCAAAATCTTCACCAAGCAGGGCTGAAATTCTGCTCCCTGGTCCCTGCTGCTCCCCTTGTGGTTGAGCTAGGCACCCATTCGTTTCTGTGCTCATTCGCTATTGTAAGCATCCACTAAAACCACAGGAAAATACTAATATGCTTCAATTTGCTTTTGAAACCAGTCTACACTGAGTGCAGGAGGTTTTGGTTTTGGCGCCAACCACAGCACAGCTCCACTTCTTGTCCATACAGACGCATGCTATTTTCTGTTCCGAGCATAGCTCAGAACAGATTGTAGTGCAGTCACAGCCGCTCAGCTGGTGGATCTCTGTGCCTGGCAGCGTAATTCTTGCGCCCTCCTTTCCTTAGGCTGACAGATAACTTGTAGGCTTGCTCACTTCTACTCTCCGCGTTACAAACGACAGTTCGCGGTCATATGTGCAGCGTCGTACGTTAGAAGAAAGTTTTCTTTTCGTCATGTCTGCGCGTTCGGTCCTCCCTAGCAGCAATCATAGCGCCTTTGTACGGTCGCAGTGGGACAATCTAGACTCGATTCTACAGAGAAAATCGCAATTAGTGGTTTCCTCAGGTACTAGACGCGCTCCGAACTTGAATTCCTCAATGCTCGTACACTACTTCTGTTTCTTAATTCTGCTAGAATCTGTATACCATTAGTAAAGCGCTCGCGCTTGTCCTTACGATCGTTTGGTAGAATTGGGCCAATTTACTGAATTTTTTGAAAGATCCACGCTTCTCTTCCCGCTGTTACTCCCGTTGGTTCACTGACTGTTCCCAACAGGATCGCGGTCAAAAATGGCGGATCATTCTTTTTCACTACAAAGCAACACTTGGCCAGTTAACTCTCCGCGACGAGTAAACCCTCTGACCTTCCGACTGCCCTTGGCTCCGTTTGCTTTCCAATCTCGTCTGTAAACAAGATTAATTGCGTTTGATGTCGTCGGGTTCGTTAAGGTGTCGCACGAACGCCTCGAAAGCAAACGGAGATATTGAGAATCAATCAACATAACTGGTTGTTGACTATGTAACTTGTAACATCTGTACTCCTTTGCGTGCATGCACCCTTGTCACAGGCGAGACACCGGGGTCCAAAGGCCGCGAAAGGACGGGCGAGTGAAGCGGCCGCTTCAGCAGGAGGAAGAACCGTGTTTCATAAAGTCGAGTCGTATGTTCTCCTTCCTCCCGCGGTTCCAGTTTGCTAGTGCAGATTTCCTTTGCGCCATTTTTTTTTTTTTTTCAGAAATTCATTCCTCTCGTGACGTAAGATATGTTCCGTGATTACCGTATCAAATGTATATACAGGGTTTGTGTTTTCCGTTTCTGCGCGCTCGTTATCGTGTTCCGTTCCTGCTACCGTCCTCTTCCCCTCGTCATGTCATTTCCAGATAAATCCTTCCCCTTTCTTTTGCCTGGTTTATTCTTCAGGGGTGAAACGTTATGGAGTATCGCAAGGATGTACGGCATTCCGGTTCCGGATCTCATGGCGTACAACGGAATCTCGGACGCCAGAGAAGTGTACTCGGACTCCGTCGTCATCATCCCTCTCCTCTCTCCCGCATCTCCTCGGACAATCCAAGGAGATCCTAGCAGTTCATCTGCCTCATCGTCATCTCTTAGATCTGGCACAGATCCTGATGAGGCGAGCGGCGTTGGCCGGGGTAGTAGTGGGCGGACTCAAGTGGCGACTGAGGAGGCGTCAACGGTGCTTAGAGGCTTGGCTTCGCGCGTGCAGAAGACGTCGAACTCGTTTCACTTGACGGACTCGTTAAAGGTGGGTGAGTGAGACAGATTTAGCAAGGATGTGGTTCTGTGGACACTTCCCCCTCGATTTTTCTGTGTTTTCCTGCCACAGTCTATCGCGCCTTGCGGCATTCGCGCTCTATTTACATCACATTCTTATCGGATTCCTAGTTCGCATTCCATGGCCCCCATCCCTGGGACTCATCCTCAAATTCATAATCCAATGGCCTGCTTTCGTCATCTCTTTTCTTGCACGTGCGTTTGTGCCGTCCACCCTTTGTTATCCACTGCAGGTTCTTCTCTTCTGCTACAGTGCGGCTTTGATATCCTTCCTAATAGTAGCGGTCAGAGAGCTTTTGAGAACATTCAAGGAGGCCAGGGATCTTCAATGGGTGCAGGAGCCGGAACCAGAGCGGCCAAATGTGGCTCTTAAAACGCGGACGTCCATGTCGTTGGTCCTTGATCGGCTGAGTAGGTCACAGGAGTGGTCGCGGGAAGAGATGATGGGAGATGGTGTGTCAGCGGTAAGTGTCGTGGCTTTTTTCTACTTCATTATTTCATGCTACAATCCATGCTTTTTTTGTCTCATTTTTGTGACGTTTTTTCTGAACAAACTTTCCAGCTGGGTTTAATCCTGAATGTTTGCCGTTTGCCATTTCAATTTGGAATCTTGTCAGGGTGCGGATTTGCAACAACTGGATGTAGGAACAGCAACAGCTCAACTAGACATCGTAAGTTCGCATCTGGCATTGCGTCATGGAGCAGCAAAATCGCTGAGATCTATTGCAGTGGATCGGCCCCCTCTCGCTCCCCATCACTCCTGTGGCTTCTCTTACATATCGGCCTTGTGTCACTCCTTTTGCGCTCACTTCGACTTGATTCCTTTCCCACCCCATCTTATTCCGTATCGGTCCACTAGGATCAAGCCCCCGAGCCATCTCCGGAAGAGGTGGCTCAAGACTATGAGGAAATTCGCAGACGGTACAGAGAGGGGCTGGAGGCCTCTTACAGGACCTTTTTGAAGGACACAGGGTCACAAACAGCAGGACGGTTCCGAGGTGGCATGCCCTCGAAGTTTAGAAACAAGAAACCCCCAAGATGATATTGGTTTTGATTGTGGTGAATATGGTGGTGATGGTGGTGGGGATCAGCAAAGGCTTGGGACTGGGCTAGCCATTGCTTCTGTAATGATAGTGATGTGGCTTGAATGATTCTAACCCATTGCTAACATAAGGGCTCTAAATTTTGTGTTCAATATTACCTTGCTCAACTTGAAAATAACACTAAGGTTCTGTCAAATGCAACAGGGTGTGTCAGCTCAGTAAGGAAGATAGTGTAACAAAACAATATGTATGTTAGTGTACAAATGAGGACCAGCCAATCCATCTCTCAATCCCCCTGCGAGATTGGTTGGACCGCGAGAATGGACCTCACAGAGTGGTCATGCTCGTCCTCCCACGTCAAACTACCGTAAGAGAACGTTGGCGATGTTCGCAACACAGTGAAAGTAATCCTGTATGTTACACTCGCCCCTGACGAAATGGTGAAGTTTTGAGGGTCCACCGCGACGTCCACACCCCTCGGCGAAACCACTTTCGCCACGTACGTAGCATCTTGGTCGAACACACTTGTAACCTTTCGTGTCACGACTGCGCTTCCAGAGAGCCAGGCGACGGAAATAGTCGGACGGTTGAGATTTCGCGCAGAAGTAGGAGCGAACGTCTCAGAAGGCCAGAGCAACTTCGCCCGATTCAAATCCTGCCCGGCAAGAAAATTCTGGTAGTCCTTGAAAGCGATGTTGTAGGTGAGCCCGGGGTCGAGAAGTTTTCGCGGGTTGATGTGACCTGCCCCCATGTCCCATGGCGTCGCTAATTGGTGCTCGCTGGTTTGAATCGCCTGCCCCTTGTTGTCTTTCGTCGTCGCCGTTGTCATCATTGCTGACATCAGCTGCGCGGGGGTCCAATTAGGGTACCGCTGCACAAGCAACGCGGCAATCCCCGCGATGTGCGGCGTAGCCATGGACGTTCCCGAAAGCTGCGCGTATTGCGCGTCCCAACGATTCGAGAGCTCGCTATTCGCAGCAGACCATAGGTCCACGCCAGGAGCCACGATGTCTGGTTTTATGATGTCGTTGCAAGGGCGAGGGGCCGGTTCCGGGTTGGTAGAAGGGTTGTTGAGCGGGCCAGTGGAGGAGAAAGAGGCGATTACAGGGGCTCGGCTGGCTGCTACGAATTTTCGAAGCCATGAGAAAATTCCCTTGGGTTGTGCTCTGCGGGGTGGATGGATGGGTTGGGAATGGTGGGTTAGGGGAAAATGGGTGTTTAGAGTAAGGAGTTGGTACAAAGCAGAGGCACAACGCAGAGAAAACGAAGGAAATGAACAAAAAGGGACTCCTCCCTACATCCTTCACGAAAAGAAAATTTTGAAAACAAATTCTAGAACCTACAACCCTCCCTCCCCCACACCCACCCACACACACAGAGCCCACACACAAAGCCCACACACAAAGCCCACACACTAATATCAAACTCACTTCTTAGAGCCCGCCATAAAGGACCGCAGCTGCACCGTCTCCTTCATGCCGATGCGCCTCACAGGCAGACTGCCGATCTTAAAAGACCCGAGATTCTTGGGCAGGCCCAGCGGATCGAGCACGATCATAGCGTACCCGCCCTTCCCTGCTACTTCCCAAGCCTTGGCTTTGATTGATGACCCTCCTTGGTTGCACAGGACAACCTTGCCGGAGATTTTGGAGGGGTCCAGGGAGAGAGGCGCGCAGATTCGCGCCTGGAGAGGAGGGGGGAAGTAGGAGTGGGGGATAGAAGGGTTGAGGAAAGGGTGAGTGGAGAGAGGAGAGGAAGCAGGAAGGGAGAGGTGAGTGGGTGGCTGGGGTGGAAAGGTGGAGGGCTGTAGATGGTGTAGAGTGATAAGGGGGTGGCGCTTTTGATAGGGAAAGGTGCAGTTGTGATTGGGGATACTGGCACTTGGCATCATATGTCATATGTGCAGGCAGCAGGCACACTTACATTTGCACGTTGCTTGAGAGTCCGTGCAGCCTTCTGTGCCTCGACAAACACGACTTGCAGAGAAGTCGTCGCGGCATCGATACTGGAGGAATTTGAATTCGCATCCGTGCCAGCCCCCACCTCTCCTCCTGCTGCTCCACCGAGCACACTTCTGCTGCCAGCAGGAGCAGTAGAAGCATCCGCAGCGCCCGCAGCAGCAGCGACAGTGGTAGAGGAGGAGGAGGATGAGGAGTCGGGAGTGTCGAAAGGGCTGGTCATTCCTGGGAGCAGCTTGCGCAGAAGGTTGGACTCCCCACTGCTTTCGTATGTGCCCCTGCGAGCGATTGAACTGTGGTGGGGCGCAAAGATGGGGGGGGGGGGGGGGAGGGGAGGGGGAGGGAGACGAGCGAGGAAAGGAACGGTGGTAGAAAAAGTGTTGGGGTTGAGATCAGAAAAACAAACCAAGTCACTCACTGCAAATACTGCACCTGTAATCAGAGCCACAGGCAAGAACGTTTACACGCCTAAGAGCGGCGACAAGGGCAGATGGGTTAGAGCGGGAGCGTGACCGGGCAAGAGGGGCGAGAAGAGCACCTGGCACCAACAGTCATGTAGAAAGGCGAGAAGTTATCGATCGTGCGATACACCACCCTTGACGGCGGGCTGCCGCTGTTTCCCGCCGCAAACGCGACAAACACGCCGGCCTTGTTCACGTTCAGATAATTCACGTGGTCGAAATACGTCGCGTTGGGATCGGCTCCCCCGAGCGAGATGGAGATCACGTCGACGCCATCGGCGACGGCTTTGTCGACGGCTGCGTTGATGTCCACCATGGTGGCGAGGTAACCGCCCGAGTTCATGTTGGTCCACACGACCTTGTAGATTGCGAGGTGCGCCCGCGGCGCCATGCCGCTCACGGTTCCGAGCTTGCCCGCTTCTACTACATTGCCCACTGCCGCTCTGATGTGGGGGTTGGGGGAGGGGAGGGAGAGGGAGGGGAGACGGAGGGGGAAGGGGAAGGAGAGGGGAGAAGGCGGGAGGGAAGGGGTAGGGGAGGGAGAGAAGAGGGTTCGGGGAGGGAAGGGAAGGAGGGCGGGAAGGGGGAACAGGGAGGGGAGGGAATGGGAGGGCAGGCAGGTTAGGGCACGAGGTGCGGCCAAGGGCGATGGCAGTGAGAGAAGGGCAGGGAAGTTGGGGGAGTTGACTGGGCCAAGCGGATACGAGGTTGCACTTGTCTTCCCATGCCCATGCCCATGCCCATGCCCATGCCCATGCCCATGCCCATGCCCATGCCCATGCCCATGCCCATGCCCATGCCCATGCCCATGCCCATGCCCATGCCCATGCCCATGTCCCTCCTTGTCCCAATTGCACCCATTCCTCAACAATTCCTTAGTCACTTCCCCCGTCTCCCACCCACACCACCGCCCCTCTCCTCCCTCCCCGTCTGCCCCCTTCCCCCTCCGCTCCCCTCCCTTCTCCCCCGTCCCCGCGCGCGTACCCCGCACACCACGTGCCGTGGCCGTTGCTGTCGCGCGCGGACGAGTAGTCGACGGCGTTGCTCTCCGCCTTGAAGCGCTGGCGGAACCCCGCGTTGAACACCTGCGCGCCGATCAGCTTGTTCGTGCACAGGCGCGCGGAGAAGTCGGACGTCGTCGTGCAACTCCCCGCCCACCGCGCGGGAGGCGCGGAAAACGAGCGGCTTGTCTGGAAACAGTCGGGTAGGAGAAGGGGGGAAGGCGGGAGGGGGGACGGGAGAGAGGGAGGGGGGGCGGGGGTGGGAGGGGGGCGGGGGGGTAGAAATATAGAAAGGGGGGCTTAGTTGGTTCAGAAATGAAACGAGTCGATTGACGGGGGTGGTAGGGTAAGAACATAATAACGAGCTATAACGACAGAGGGAGGGCGGAAAAGCTACAGAAAAAAAAAAAAAAGAAAAAAAAAACTGTACACTGTATACGCGTACATTTGCGGCGGAGAACGAAGGGTGCTCGGGCCATATTCCCGTGTCGATCACGCCGATAATCACATTCTCCCCGGCGTTTTTGGGGCCGCCCGCGGAAGCCCACATTGTTCCGGGCAGCTGCAAAAAGTTGGGCGAGTAATTGGTCAGCGGCCGAAACAGCACGTCCTGCCGAATCGACTCGACCGCTGGGTTCTGGCGAAGTTGCGAAACCTGCTGCGGCGTCAACCGCGCGGCGAAACCGTGCGAAACGTACTTGAAGCTGCGATTGTGGGTGGACGAACGACGAGAGAGAAAGAGAGGGGGTGGAGGAGCGAGAGAGGGAGAGAGTTGATGGAAACACCAGCGCAACGCAGCGCAGCGCAACGCAACGAAGCGCCAACGGGCACAGAAACACTGGTTCTGAGGCGCCTTGAAAACGGGCACTAACCTGTAGAGAAGATTCGAATGAGGGATTTTCGCAGACGTTGCAACCGACAGCTGCTGCAGTCGAAGCAGCTCCGCGAATTGTCGCACAGCGCGCGATCGCACGTTCAGCCGCGGCCGATACCGATTTCGCATTCGCTTCGCCTGCCCTTGGAACCAGCCGATCTGATCCCGGGCCTTGTCGGCTAGCCGGTCCTTCACGCCTCCTAGCCACCCGCCACCGCTGCTGGCGGGACGTGCGCCGGCTGGTCTAGCGGTCGCGCCGCCGCCGCCACCGCCACCGCCACCGCCGGTGGCGGAAGCCGCGCTCTCGGATAAACTTTCCGCCGCGTCGCCGTCACCGTCGTCCTCCATACTGCTATCAGCGGCGGCGGCGGCGGCGGCGACGGCTTCGGGCGCGGTGGGCGCGAAGCCGAGTATTCCGCCGTTGTACGCGATAATGGGGGGCGCGGAACGGAGTGTAACGATGTACACCGCAGTGTCAGTAGACGCCCCTGCAATTGGCGAGGGGAGGAGAAAAAGGAGGGAGGGATGGGGAACTTCTGGACGCCCTAAGTAAGAAAAGCTGGGGAGCGGAAGAGAGGAAGAGGGAACGAGGAAACGAGACGAGCGAGAGGTTAGGTGACTGGAAAAAAAACGAGTCGTTCACTCCTCACGTGAGACTCTGGCGCCGTCACCACTACCGCAAGCACGTTGCAACAACGAACACGACGCGACAGCTCTACTGTTCCTGGCGCGAACCTAGCCAAACAAGCAAAACACGCGCTCTTTCCCACCCCTGCCTTTCCCACCCGCTCTTTCCTCGCCACATTTTCCTGCACACCCCTGTGTCGGCACTAGTTTTGAGACGTCTCAAACTCTTCCCTCGCCACATTTTCCCGCACACCCCTGTGCCGGCACCACCCTTAGGAGCGCCTGCGCGCTACGTCACGTGAGACATTTTGGTCAGCACCCGTCGCGCCTTTACTCCGCACCCGTCTACTCTCCCCATCGGTGTTCCGGTGTGTTCCGGTGTGTTCCGGTTCCCCATCCACCTCCGCAACCCGACTACGGGAACCAAAACCGCAAGCCCTGCCCCGTCCGCCGATACTGTCGCCGTCATCTGCCTGTTCCGTCGTGAATCACTCCCGTTTTCGCGGTTGGGAATTATCATAAATTCCTGTCGCTTGTTAATGAAGGCACATAATTCGAGACACACACAAACTCGCCACCACGCCCGCCTCGACCTACTACTGCTCTTCTAGCCCCCCATCCTTCTCCCCGCACATCTTCCCGCCGGCCCCCCGCCCCCCCTCAAAGCACTGGTCGAAACGCGCCCAACCACACCCCTCATACACGGCTCCTCAACCGCTGCTGCGGCTCGAGACGGTACCTTGAACTAGCGCGGCGGGAGGGCAGGCGACTTGCAGAAGCACGAGGAAGGTGACCGCCGCAGGCACGCAAAACGGCGTCCAGACTAGTGGCGATCGACGGCGAGACATGATTGCGACGCGCGGGGATCGCGACGCACGGGGGCTTCGACGATTGCGACGACTGCGACTAGAAGGATAGTATGAGAAGGGTACGAGAAGGGCAGGATGGCTCTATCAACTATACGATCCTTGGGAGGGAATCGCGAGGTGATGACGTGTGATTCGTTGCAGCGCTTCGCTGCGAACGAGCTGTCCGCGGACTGGCGCGCGATATGAAAGAGGAAGCTAGGCTCACTTATGAGACGACTCAAAAGACTGGCGCGCGATATCAACGCTGAAGCCAGGCTCGCGAGGCAATACTGAGGCGGTCTAGTCAAACTGATGCTGATTGAGGATGCAGTAGTCTAAGGATACTAAGGTCGACCCGCAGAATAGATACAAGAGATAACTGATAGGCGGAAAATTACATTCTGAAGATAGTGTGCTTGTTTCGCGACGGAACATAAGCCTGGAAGCGGAACTTTCATCGAGCTAGGTGAAGGGTTGAAGTTCTAGGTCAACATTCTGGCGGCGCACTGAGCTATGGCGCGCGTTGGATACAAGTCTGTCTGGTTTGATTTGGTCCCCAAGAGGAGGTTTTGCGTTCGGTTCCCCTTGGAGCGGGGCCGACGCACGCTGTTGCCAAATCGCCTGCCCCTCCACGCTGGTCACGGTGAGGTATCTCGGGTTTGGCTGGAGTCCCCCTCCCCCGTCTACGCAGCAAGGGGTGTACCGAACTAGGAATCTTGGTCCGTCGGCCCAGTGGGGCAAGGGCTGGGGTTGGGGGAGCTTTTCCGCGGCACAGTGCCAGGTGGAATGCGAGGTGAGCGCTGGGAGGATTGCTAGGGTTCCCAGGGTGCGGAGAAGGATCTGCGCACTAGGATGAATCGCCCGCCCTGTCTGCACTACTGAAAATACTGTACCGAGTGGTTGGGGGCAAGATACGTAATGAATCGTTCTAAAAGCTTCATCACCCTGGAGGAAGAAAGTACTACAAAGCACGCCAGTGTAGAGGAGGACACATGGGCGGCCCAGTGGATGAATGTAGCAAGACATTTGTGCTCCGAAACTGAACTGTTCACTGTGGTACAGAAATAGCGGCGGTCCCTGGTATGTGGTGCGACGCGATGTAACCAGCACAAGCCCTCAACATGTGCGACGACAGTCGGCATACGCAAGCGCATATCGACGGTTAAGCGCTTCTCACTGATCATTTTAATGCGGGAATAGCGATGATCTGGGGGTCGTGGGAACGAAGTGGGGACTGGTAGGGCTGCATGGCGCTGATTGCAACACGATGCGATGCGATGCGACGCCATGTCACAATCTCAAACGACGCCTACCCCCAGAAATCAGCAGTCGTGGCACGTCACCGTGGAGCACCACACACCATGACGTGGCCTTGCTTCTTGCTCGCATCATTGTTGTTTCACACACTCGGCTGTTTCTGTGCACATGAAAACGTCGACCCCGCAATATGGCAACAGTGCTTCTCGGAAAAACACCTGACGGCAACAGAAAAGCTCCTACCCCGAGCGACTATATCCTCTATATAGCGACCAGAACGAAATACATACAAGTCCTCGATTCTGGTCACAAGTCGAATGGGGGTAAACGGCAGCTTATGCAGACAGATACGCACATGAAGTGTTTCGGTTCTGTGCCCTCGGCGACGGTGGGCTCTGAGGGTGGTACCAGGCGTTTGCACTTGCTTGTGAACAACAAAACCCCGAACAAAACCATTTTATCGACAATAATATTAGGGATACAAATTACATCTCATACTAAAACCTCTAATAACCTTAATGAAGGTCCGGCATTATTCCTATAGTCTCGCCGCAAGCTTCCTCATTTGGACGTGTTTGTCTGGGCATCTCATGTCACTTAGGCCTTCATGCACGTGCATCACTCCCAGGGTGTACAAACTTAATCCCTCTTAGGGCCCCATCGAGATGCACTCCTAATGCTCACCATATGGTTCGCGCTTTGAACGACCCACGGCGCGATCCACACACCAACCTCAGCGGGTCCTGTGCCGCATTTCCAGCTTCATCACCAATCCTCACACCGCATTTTTTCTTCATCACCCATCCATCCCTTGTGCGCTGCCACCGCAAGCACAAGCGGTACCACCAGCCATCAGCAGCAGATTGATCACCTCTCATCCCACTCAACTCCACTCGGGTTCTAAAGGAGTACACCCCCCCCCCTCCCTCCTCCTCCTCCTTCCTCCCCCACCTCCAAATGTCCGGTTGCCTGACATCTTGACATGACTCAGCTGCCTGCTTTGTCTCTCCCTGCTTTGTCCCTCCACACCCCACACAGACAATCACACATCAATACTCTACTCGCCTCCTCATCTCCTCATCACCCGTCCCTGTCCATCCTCACTGCAGCCGTGACTGCAGCATCAGCTGCAGCACATCGCTCCACGCGTCCAGTCCTAAACACCCGGCAGGCACCAGTGCAAAACACCCACTTAGTATTACTGTTTTTCACCAGTCCATGCCCATCCCCCATTCACCAATCCTCACTGCAGCCGTGACTGCAGCACCAGCTGCAGCACATCGCTCCACGCGTCCGGCACACCCGGCAGGCACCAGTGCAGGCAGTCCCACTTAGTCTTACTGTTCTTAACCGGACCATAATACATCTGTACGTGCCCATCCGGCCTCAACCCCGACATGGCGGTCAAATCGAGCATGCTGAACCGCGTGTTTTGGAGCATTTCCAGCTCGATGCTTCGGAACTGGACCGCTGCGTTGTCGAGGGAGACGGAGGAGAGGGGCTTGGAGTCCGGGCAGGAAGGCGGGTACGTGGAGGAGCGGTAGTGGGACGGGCTGTAGGTAAGCCACATGGGAATGCCCTTGAACTTGGCCTCTACGTCCAGGAATTTCTTCACCTGATGAAAGGTAGAAAAAGGGGAGCAGAAGGGTAAGGGGTGGGGGAACATTTGAGCTGTCTAGGAAAATCGATGGAGGAGCGGTAGTGGGATGGGCTGTACCATGAGTCACATGGGGATGCCCTTGAACTTGGTTTCCACGTCTAGAAACTTCTTCACGTGATGAGGAAGGGGTTTGTGGGGGTATGCATTTGGTCTAAAATTGAAAGCAGGTGGAGGAAAGGTGCGATAGAGTGCGACAGGCCGTAAGCAAGCCACACGGGGATGTTGTTGAAGCTGGCCTGATGGAAGGTGATAGGTGGTTGAGAGGGGGTGGGGGGATTGGGAAGGGTTGTGGGGAGTGAGCGAGGTGGTTGGAGGGAGAGAGGTTTAATGTGCAGACAGCACAGCACCACCAGAATCCCGGAATCACCGGCACCAAGACTCACCCTGTTGATCACAGCGCGGTACGCGTCCTGCCCGTTGAGATTCACGGGCCTGTTATTCGACACAAACTGCAGCGCCTACTGAGGCGCCTCAACAAACCACCAGCACCCACCAGCAACCACCAGCAGCACCACCCAACTCACCCTGTTGATCACAGCGCGGTACGCGTCCTGCCCGTTGAGATTCACGGGCTTGTTATTCGACACAAACTGCAGCGCGCGCACGTCGGTGTTCCCCTGCGCCTGCAGAAACCAGTGCCCCGACATGAACACCACAACATCCAGCTGCCGAAACAGCACCGTCCACGCGGAATCGAGCACATCCGTCCAGATCACATAACTCTGCCCCGCGCCGTTCCCGCCCTTGATCAGTTGATTTTTAGGGGGTTTTAGACCGTAGAGCTCGAAGGCCCACGGCTCGTTGGTGTAACGCACGAGGAAGGGCGTCATGAAGGCGAGGATGCGCACGTTGTGCGAGGGGATCTTGAGCCCGATGACTGAGTCTGGGCCTAGGTGGCCCGTCCAGTCCTCCACTGCTACTTGCGCCGCGATCAGGCACGAGATGGACTGCTGGAAGTTTCGGGAGATTGAGTCGCCGATGAACGCGATGATCTGGTGGGAGGTGGGCGGGGGAAGGGGAGGAGCAGGGGGAGGCAAGAATATGATTGCAAGGGCAGGGTGACGGGGAACCTGAGACATGAATGGCTTGGATTCATGCCTGCAGGGTGTGCTTTTTTTTTTTTTTGAGAATTCTCAAAGATTCATGCCTCCAGGAGGTATTCAAGGCCGCATCTTTTGTTAAGAGCACTTGGCCACTCGATGATTCCCAAATGCCTTGCTCTTATGCCTCCGCCTCGGGTTTCGAGGCGCCTCAAAAGTCGTACCACGGCCGCATCCTTTTCTCACTTTTGCCACTTGCACCTTGATTCCCGAGTTCCTCGCACCGCATTCCTCCGCCTCAGCTTAAACCTTCTCAACTATTACGCACCTAAGATTATTGACGTGCCTCAAAGAGCATGCACCCTACTCCTCCTCCACCTTACCCGTGCCTTCCTTCCGCCTTCAGTCTCAACCGCACACCTTGTTTTGCAACAGCGATAGGAACGTGTTGGCGTTGAAGCGCGGGAGCGCGCAGCCGGCGGGCTTCCAGCGGTAGCTCATAAAGTCCATGTTCTTGCGCCCGTTGCGCTGGCAGTTAAAGCCCGAGCGGATGTACTTGCAGTCCCCGCTGTACGCGGGCTTGTACCCCTTCACGTACTGCCACTTGCCGCGCCGATAGTCGCACGACGTGCCTGCGGGCGCGCGCAGGGGGGAAGCGGACGCGCGGGGGAGCGGGGAGGAGGGGGAAGGGGCAAAGGGGGAGGGGCGCCGGGGGAATGGGGAGAGGGGAGACGGATCAGTGAAAGAGGAAGAGACGGGACGAGAGAGGAGGGGGACTCAGTTCTGGGTTTTAGAAAAAACTTGCGGTAGCTCATTAAGTATATGTTATTGCGCCCGTTCCGCGCGTTCCGCCCGTTGCGCCCGTTGCGTCCTTGGTCTTATATCCCGATATTTTCCCTAATATCTTGAACACTTGGTATTTCTTTACCTAGTAGCTGTCTCCTTATCTCGGCAGCTGACGTGGCACTGCTGACGTTGTTCTTGCTGGGTTGCGATCCTGGCCATTCCATCCACGATCTCCGTATCTCCTCATCCTCCTCCTTCACGAAATCCTCGATATTAGCATCCCCTTTACTCTCACTCCCGAAATTCCCGTGCAAGCTCGTGAGAGTGCTGAAACCGGCAGCGGAACTCGCGGAACCGGCGGCATTGGCGGAATTAGCGGAGTTGGCGGAGGCGGAAGGGGCGCTAGTGCCCACGGGGGGCGCGGAGAGCCACTGCAAGAGGCGGTCAACGTCGGCTTGCGGAATGGACTGGGGGGGCGGGAAGGGGGCTCGGCGCTTATTGGAGGCTGTTAGCGGAAGGGAGTGAAAGGGGAGGACGCGGGGAGGAAGCGGGGATGTGGATTGGGAAAGCAGCGAGGGAGGGAAGGGGATGTAGAGCGGATGGGAGGACAGAAAAAGGGGGAGACAGGGGTATACTTAGTAGGAGTCACGAGCCTGGGGAGACGGGGACGGAAGGAAGACGGAGAGACGCGAGAGAATACCACAGGGAGAGAGAAGAGAAGAGCCGCGACACCATAACGCCGATCACGCTCTGATTCGTTCGTGCGTGCGTGCGCGCGTTGCGGAGCAGCGTCTCCAGCGGCCAACTGAGGGAACAACTGTTTTACGCCCGTGCGTGTGTGCCTTGCGCATTCCCGCTTACAGCCACCTCGATATAAAAAAACTCGCAACCGTATCGAACAAATCACAACATTTTAGGCGCGCCTCACGTACCGCACCCTGCAGCACCCTGCTTCGGCCTCCTCACAACGACGTACCTTGCGCAAAAAAGCACGGCGCTGATTTGTGAGGCGCCTCAAAAATCATATCGCACACCCCAAACCCTTATCTCTGCCATATAAGAAGGCCCACCTTGCGCGCCAAGTACGGCGCTGGTTGCGATCGCGGCGATGGCTATGAGCACGGCGAGAAACGCGGGCCGGCGCGTACGGCGCGAAGTTCGCCACGACGTACGGCAGACGGCATCGCCCCAAGCCTCCGAAACCCGCGGTCTCCTAGTCATGCTGACGTGCCTTCTCGGTCTCCTCCTTCCGCAATGGCGTCTTCTCGGAGGGCAAAAACAACTCAGTACCTAACTTAAGAATTTCTTACGCGATCGCCTGTGCGGTTTCGGCTTTCGGCGTATGCAATTATTCCTGCTGCGTGGCTGAGTGATTCGTAGATGTTTGAGATTTAACTCGCGGGGCAGACCTCGCTTGATTGGCGAGACCTAGGCCCGGCGAGTGAAGGCATCGTGGTGTCAGGAATGGTGACTCCCACAGCGCGGCACTATCGGTGTGACCGCACTGCTGCGGTGACCACAGCGCCACCGCCTATTCCAGTTTTAAGATCACGAGGCTCTAGAGGATTCGCTTGGGGCTGATCAAGCTAAGATTCTAGCGAGGCGCGCGCGGGATTGAGTGGGGAAGGGGTTGAAGAGGGGAAGGGTGGGGTCGGAGGGAGGAAGGGAGAGGGGCGTGGGGAAGGGGCGCGGGGAGGAAAGGGAGGTGAAAAATGAGAAGCACAACGGTAGTCTTGCTAGGTACTCTAGAAAGTCGAGCTATTACTGCTGTCGAGATACCGAGCTACTTCGATAAGCGATGGAACTCTTAGGAACCCGAGCATGCTTAGACAAGGTTATCCCTCACAGGGGCGTCGGCGAATACTTTTTTGACCTGGCGTGGCAGTAGGAAACGAATCACTCGGATAACCCGGAATACGATCGTTCGTGACAGCTGCTGCGGACGCTAAGTTACTACTGTGATGTGGATGGAGCACCGCGCATAAGGCAGGGGTCGAGTGACAAACAATGGAATGGAGAGTTCCGCAGATTAGAAAAGAGGGAGGAAGGGAGGGCAGCCGGGAACGGAACTATTTGAAAGTGAAGGCAAGTGTGAGATATGCCATAGGACTGCAGTGGACTGGGTGTCGGTGCGGGTTGAGTTCGGGTGCTGCCGAGCCGAGCCGCAACCCAATGTTACCATTCATAGCTCAATTCACAATTTGTACGGCACGCCGCAAGCAGCAGATCCTTTCTGTTGGTTTTGGGCTGACGTTGCGGTTTATGTACGAGTAAAAGGGTTTTAGACTGATGACATGGGATGCGTAACGGTAAATGCAGAAAATGCTTATCAGACAGATGAGCGCAACGGTCCATTGGCATTGGTCGTCAAGGATGTGAGATGAGCTTCGCCCATCTACGGTGAGGATTGCTTGAGCGCTTGAGCTAACGCGATTTTCAGCCCGAAGGCGGACATTCGGATTCCATCCTCCCGTCGAAGCGCGTGATTTCACATCGAACCATCAATGGATTTACGGCGCGAAAGACTATCACTTTCGTCCCCGCCGTCTGCGTGCAACCTCAACTGGCATATTTCGACATGTGGCGACAACAAGGGCCTTCGCAAAATAATTTGGGAATTGATCAGACTGGGGCCCCGGGTTAGCAGAAACAGTGCCAACTTGGGGCCTCGTGAGTCGCGACCCTACGAAATAGGCCCGAAGCAAATCACAAGACTGGGCAGCAGGTCCGAACCTGGCAAACTCGCCAGGTCACCACCTACTGCCTTGGGTTTGACGGAAATCGCTAGCACCCCACACCGCTGGAAGCACAACAATCCGTCAAACCAACACAGTCTGATCGAGATACAGCACAAGCAGCATGTAACAAACAACTCGGAATTATTACGGAAACATAAGACTGCCAGAACACAAAGAGCTGAAACATGAAAATTAATAAAATGAGTGGGCACAAAATGGGGAGGTTCATGACCTTTTTCTGTTAGAGAAATTTCAACCAACCTACCCACATTCTTTCAGAATATGTATACATACATATATGATTTACATGCAAGTGCTTCCCTTGTAAAATCTTCGATGAAAAATCTTCTACCGTATTCCCCCGGATATACCACCCTAGGGTGCTATGATAACTACACAAAAAAAAGGGGGGGGTCTTGTCATCGGAAAAAGCTTCATTGCACCCGGGTCTTTACATAATGTGTATTTTTTTTATAGCGTAAAACGATTAGTACTAAATGTACATCTGTATTTTTGTTTTACATCTGTACTAAATCGTTTTACGCTATAAAAAAAATACACATTATGTAAAGACCCGGGTGCAATGAAGCTTTTTCCGATGACAAGACCCCCCCTTTTTTTTGTGTAGTTATCATAGCACCCTAGGGTGGTATATCCGGGGGAATACGGTAGAAGATTTTTCATCGAAGATTTTACAAGGGAAGCACTTGCATGTAAATCATATATGTATGTATACATATTCTGAAAGAATGTGGGTAGGTTGGTTGAAATTTCTCTAACAGAAAAAGGTCATGAACCTCCCCATTTTGTGCCCACTCATTTTATTAATTTTCATGTTTCAGCTCTTTGTGTTCTGGCAGTCTTATGTTTCCGTAATAATTCCGAGTTGTTTGTTACATGCTGCTTGTGCTGTATCTCGATCAGACTGTGTTGGTTTGACGGATTGTTGTGCTTCCAGCGGTGTGGGGTGCTAGCGATTTCCGTCAAACCCAAGGCAGTAGGTGGTGACCTGGCGAGTTTGCCAGGTTCGGACCTGCTGCCCAGTCTTGTGATTTGCTTCGGGCCTATTTCGTAGGGTCGCGACTCACGAGGCCCCAAGTTGGCACTGTTTCTGCTAACCCGGGGCCCCAGTCTGATCAATTCCCAAATAATTTCGTGACAGACGCACGGTCGGTGGGGAAATGCGTGTCAACCTTCACCCAAGCTTCGATTGTCATGCGCCAGCTCAGAGCGGAAACACCAGACCTGAAAGCTGGGTGGGACCTGCGTGGTTGTACCCGCTAAAATCACCACCTACAGTGTGCATACAATGGGCCGCATGGTCAGGAGATAATTAAGACAGAGAGAGTATACCTGATGGAGAATGGCAAAACTAGGATGGCCTGGATTCAGCTGTCATGATAATGGTTATATAAAGACGAAAATTTTTAAAAGTTCTTCATTGGGCAAGGGCATGGACAAATATATGTAGCTAAGGATGTCAATTGTAACAGACAAATGTTTAGCAAAATCACTACAGGAATAGCTCTCGCACATATGTTAACTGAAAAAAAAATCCCATATGTTACAGAGTAATCAAAGTTGGAATCTGTGGGATTTCTCAAGACAGTATATGAAACGTCAAATATATGTACTTCACATCCCCGTTACAAGATCCCACTGCTCTATGGTGAATGCCCCTTTCAGTTCTCACCCCCCTTCCCAACCAAGCCCCATGCTTGACCACCCTTAAGGTCGTATCTCCAGCAAGTGTTAAAAAAGTTAGTGTCAAGAAGCTTGCGCACCTGATTGGTCCAGAAGAAATTTCCGACCAATTCGATTGGTCAGTAGTTTTTTTAACCAATCGCGTGCGCAAAATTCTTGACACCAACTTCTTGACACTAAGCAGAGAAACGACCTAAATCCAAACAGCCAAGAACGAGCGTTGCCTGCCGAAGCATAACCACCAACTTTCAAGCCTGGCATGCAGCCTCCTAGGCTTTCCCGCACTTGACGAACCTCCCCCAAGCCATCTCGAGCTTCATCCGTTCCCCAATCAGACCAGCCGGGCAACTCGTTTTTTTTTTTTTTCATGTGCAGCCCCCGAACAAGAGCAACTATTTGAGAGGTCAGGACGCGTCACCTGCCTCGATCGATCGTAGGATTGCCAGGAAAAACCGATCGGGCATACCGATCGCAGGATTGGTGCACGATTGGGGGCAGGTGACAGCTGAACATCGATCGCAGCTTGGTTTCGAGCCCTGGGTGACGTGTTCGGTATTGCGCCAGGGGACATGGTTGGGCGAAAATATGCAGCACCTTCGTATGGTTGATTTGCGAGGAAAAAAATGAGATGATTCAGGTAACCCTGCAAACTGTGCGACGGCGATCGATCTTGCCTGTCACTTTGAGAGCGAGCTTGGAGCTTATGCAAAATCGGTGTGTATGATGATGCAATCATCGCGGTTGGGGGGAGGTGACAAGATCGATGTGCACCTGTTACTGTACGTTCGTGAGCTGTCTCGAAATAGGGTATCTCAGTGAACTGCGATCCTACAGTTTTACTGTAGCATGCCGAACATCGATCCTACGCAGGATCGATCGAGGCAGGTGCGCGTCCTCAAGCAGCGCGACCTTTTGGTACCGTAGAAAACCGTTGATGATTTCACCGTTACCATCTGGAACCTACGGGACTTGTCTATGTTTCGTTACAAGCTTCGTTCCCTGTTCAGAATGCGCCACATAAGGTCAGGAGCCTATGGGCTCCCCCTCCCAACCCCCTGCCGCTCATGTGACGACAATTGGGAGGAGCAGTGAGCAGCCTAGGGAGTACCGTATAGAACCTAGGGATTTCAATTGTTCCTTCCACACACCACACCCGCCTCCTGTTTCAGGACGGAGGGAAAACAGTAGGAAAGCTTTGGATGGTAGACAACCACATATGTATTATCCGCAGCGCGATTTGAGCTGCATTGTGGCTGGTTTGTTACAAGTAAAGCGATAACGCGCGGTGCAACTTTTGTCTGCCTGGTCCGCCATGGGGTTCTGTCTTGGTATAAATTAGGCCGGACTGAAGAGTCGCATTATTAACATTGTTAAGAAAATTGCCCCTTGCTCTTCGATTGTCGTGCTCGGTGTATTGCAACCCGGCTAGTCTCCCTTATCCGACATTGTCAACGGAGTAGAGAGGAACGTCGTGACTGTCAATTTATTAAGAAACGCTGAAAAGAAACGGCTCGCATGTCTACAGCAAGGGCCGAGTGATTAGGTTTCCGCTGACCCTGACCATGGAGTAGCAATTCTGGAAGAGAAGACGGGGGACGGCATTGAATGGTTCGTTCCGCCATTTCCCTAGGCGTCTATGTACACCTCTTGTGTTACTGGTCCATCGTCCTTCTGCGTGCTATTATACTTAACGACCTGCGTGAACTCCTACATTTTGTCGCTATTGTCAGACACAGCGACTTTTTGGCATTGTTGTGCTGTGCTAGCAGGGACCCGTTG